ATCTCTCATGATCGATTAGTCAACAGATTTTATATAGACACTATGTGCTGCTCCATAGCTGAGTGAGGAACACCAGAAGTGTAAGAAGAAATAACATTGCCTTTGAAGTTTTTTGTTTTTGTTTTTGTTTTCGAGGCAACGTCTTGCTGTGTTTCCCAGCCCATCCCCAGATTCCTGGGCTCAAACTGTCCTCCTGCCTCTACTTCCCAAGAAGCGACAGGAAGGGTGTCCCAAGGGTGACAGGAAGACCATTGCACTTGGCTTTTCAAGGATCTTCTAATCTCATTGAGAAAAACTGGTATATAAGTAAGAAGCCAGAATCGGAGTCACAAGGCACTGGGTACAAATAAAAGTGGGAATGAAAATATGTTATGAATTTCAGAGAGAGAGAGGAGGACTATGGTGAGCCAGGAAGGTTAAGGAAAGCTTGATGGAAGAGGGGCAGGGGCATGATGACTGGAACACAAGAGCTTTGCACATTCTGACAATTTAATAAATTAGGCAAACAACGAAGAAAAAAGTAGAACCGGAAATTGAGAGGAAGACAAGGAAAGCCATTTCAGAAGACTCAGGTGTGCAAGTAACTGCTAAATTGGAGGAAATGTCAGTGAACTCACAGTGGCAATTTATGCTAACCCTAAACGCAGTGTCCTCAGAAATATTCAAAGCGAAACTAATTAAGAGAGTAGTGAAAGTTTAATTGCACGGGGCTCTAGCAACCCAGGCCTTAGCAGCTGCCTGAAGGCTGAAAGGAATAAATAGCTTGATACAGGCCAAGGAGCTTTGTTCTGAAGCTTAAAGAATAAACACCTGGGGAGAATGGAAATGGACTGCACGGTTTCTCAGTGTGTTTTTACATAATTATAACCTAAAGTGATGAAAAACAATCAGACACATGTTGTCAAAGCAAGCAAAGAAACTATGCAATCAAGTTTGCACTAACCCAGTGACTTAGTGAGCCAGAGGTTTGAAAACGCAAAGAGAGAAAACCAGCAAGCCATCGTGTTGAGAAGTAATTAAGACTGAAGGTTCTCCAGCTTGAAACACTCTACCAGCAAAAGTTAATGGCAATAAACAGCACAGTTTTGTAAGGTGATGTCTGCCTGCAGAGAATGCTGGGAGTTGGGGTTTACTTGGTAAATGCTTTGTTAGCACCATCCACGTGAAGCAGAATAGTTCATGCGTGGTAGCTCTCTGGGCAGCTGCGCATCAGCTCCTGCCTCCAAGGTTCTTTGAAACTTATTGCTTGCACTTTGCATGATTAGAAAACCCAGTGGCCACCAGGACATAGCAAGTCATTAGCTTCAGGCAAGGAGGAGCCCTGCCCTAGGATGCATAACTTAGGGTTCTGCTTTGGTGCTTCCCAAGATACATCTCTCCTAGGACCCGATGGTGCAGAGGGATGTGCACACCTAGAATCCATGAATCTTCCCCTCGCTTTCATCAAGTATATTGTAGCCACTCTGCAAATCCCTGTAGACCTTGTCCCCAGCGCTGTCCTTCGGGAGGTAAATTGTAGCAATGGAGAGAAAATTTCCAGTCATACGGAGTTCCAATGGACAGTTCAGGGAATCTATCCCACTTGCACGGGGCCCCTCAGGGCTTATTTGGGGCCAAGCATTCAGAGGGAAGAAGGTGGTACGCCTTTGAGGGTCAGGGCCCAGCATCCTCTGCAGGACTGTGTTCAATCTGGCACTCTGGGGAGGCTGATGATGCTAAATTCAAACCTGACCCATAAAGTCATCATGAAGGATTATTCCTTGAGGTACATCACTTGTCGGTTGTTGCTTTTAACTATAAATTTTACTTATACACCAGGTATATGGCTCTCCTTTATCTTCTTGCCCTTAGCCCCATAAAGGCTGTAGCAAGTCCAGGACACACAAAAGAATCCAACAGTGGTGGAAAGGGCTGTGTTACGGAAATCCTTAGTCCCGCCTTGTCTCAACTGAGGGCTAGGAAGGCCAGGCTGCAGGTGTGACTTCTGAGTGTTATCCTACCCCCAGCCTCTTCCACATCTTCGGTTCTCTCTCTCCTTTCTCTGTTCTTTCTTACTCGCAGTTTGACTTTTCCCTGGCACAGTCTGGAAGGCCAGCAGTGTACTCCCTGGGTATCACTTCAGTGGTTGTCATCCGGGGCCAGAAGACAGATGACTGGTTCAGAACTATAAAAGCGTGGGTGATTTGTCCGGAGGCTGAGCTCCCACCTCCCCCCTCCCAGCCCTGGTGGGCGAAGGGTGAACTCTGCCCCACGTTCTAACCCAGCTCCTTCTCCTCTTTCCCTAGGCCTTTGGGAGTGAATTTGCTCAGTATCTGGTCTTAATGGGCGATCACTGCTCTTCCTTGATTCCGTGCTTGCATTTGTGCACCATGATGAGAATACGTGGTCATTGCTTGTTGTTTATCTTCAGAAAAATGTTTAAATGCAATTTAAAAAATTAAGCAATTATTTGAACTAAATCAAAGTACTCTTCTATTGAGCATAAATGCTTCAAAACTGACTTTGAAGGGCACTGTTTTTGCCTAGGTTTCTAAGTAGCTGCCTTCTCTTCTCCCTTTCTGCCTTAACACAGCTTTTGTTGATGGTTGCCTTGGTGTTAATAGCACCTAGGTTCATTCTGTTGGAAACAATATTTGCTAGGGGTTGTTTCTTGTTTATAGTTTAGGGGTTCGATTTATTTTATATAATTAATACTTCCTGCACCTAAAGTACATCCTGGAAGTGATAATACCCCAAAAAATTAAAGTCCATGAAAAAGTGTGCCCTCTGCTGGAACAGCGGTGTCATTACACTATCAGTCACCTGACATGATGTAAAATTTGTAAGAAATGTGAAGTTCTAGTAAAGATCCAGCTGAGGATATAGATCAGCGGCACGGTACCTGCCTGGCAAGCACAAGGTCTTGTGTTTGCAAAACAAACAAAAAAACCACCAATGTTGTGTAAGGCTTTATTATTTAGATGCATAGAATTAATAGATGCCTGTCTATATTAACTTCTATCACATACTCAGTTCAGAAACAGAGCTCAGCAGTGAGGTAAGAACACACTATTGAGTTCTCTGTATATAAAATTCCATCTTAGACCAAGAGATTTTCTTTCACAAATTATACGGACACTATCAAAGCAAGACAAGATTGTCCTTGAAAAAAATTTTAAAAAGCATATATGGTGGGCTGGGGATTTAGCTCAGCGGCATAAGCACCTGCCTTGTAAGCAGACGGTTGTGAGTTCGATCCCCAGCACTGACAAAAAAAAAAAAAAAAAAAAAAAAAAGCATATATGATCAGAGAGCAGAAACAGAAACATAGGGGGGAAAATCCTCTCCCTCTCTTGTCTCTTGTAAGTTGCAAACTTCTACCCCTCTCTCAGGACTCAGCTCCAAAATCATCTTTTCTTTGAGCTTAATCTTTCTCCTATAAAGAAAATTACTCATTTTATTTTCTGTGTTCTTTTAGATTTCATTTTTCGCAGTGTAGAATTCATGTATATTTCTCCTCCATAGTGACCTCAGAAATACTAAATGAGAAGTACAAAAACAGTTAAATCTTAACTACACATTTTGTTTTAGGGAATCACAGACTATAGCTACAAGATATGTATAAATTCAAATGTTCTCCTTCCCCAAGTTCTTGCTATATCCCATTTTATAGACAAAGAAACAGACTGTCAAAATAACAGCACTGGTCTCTCATTTAGAATTACAAAATAAGGCTGTCAGCCTCGTCAAAATTGATTCCAATCCGTGCTCTTTCTGTCCACCGTGATATAACTACCTTCTTTCCACAGGGTGACTCTTTTTGTAAAAATTTTATTTTCATTAGAGTATATTTGTAGTGTATAATGATTACATTTATCAAGGGGAGTTGGTCAGGGACGTGACATATCTTAACTTGTATTAGGTCCCATTCTCCCCTCCCTACCCCATCCTTTGCTTCTTGGGCCCTTTCCCCTTTGCAAAAGATGTCTCCTTTCCATGTGGTGACTCTGTAGCAATCTATCCTACTGAACTCTTCCAGTCTTGTGTCCTTAAATTTTCTAGAATTGCATACAAAATTTATATGCATACATTTGGGGCCTGTTTGTGTAAAAGGGACCTTCACTCCCCAAACATTTATTCATTCACACATGCATGCATTCAACAAATGTTTGTCCATGACACTATCTCCAACAAAACACTAGAAAATGGAAATTGGCAACATAGGAAGAGGATTATATACCATGGCCAAATAATTTTCCCTTTATGCGTGTTGCTTTGACATCTGAAAATCAGTCATGTGTGCACTATGTTGACAGCATGATCATATCAGGAGATACAGTACGAGCATTTAACAAAATTCAACACATTTTATGGTAGGAAGATTCAACAAACCAGCAATAGAAGGTAACTTCTTAAGCCTGATAAAGGATCTATGAAAAACCTAACAGTTAACTCATATTCAATAGCGAAAGACTAGATGCTTTCTCCAAACATCAGAAATAAGACAAGCATCTCCTCTTTCACGGCTTCTTGTCCAACACTGCATTTGTAGTGAGATTTGTAGGGAGATTGTGCAAAAAGAATGAATAAAAGGTATCCAGATTGGAAAGGAAGAAGTAAACTATAACTTGCAGATGACATGATTTTGTAGAGAAAAATCTTCTAAGAAATACACACATCGAGAGAATTAGAGCTAATCAACAAATTTAGCAAGTTTTCAGGGTGCAAAATCAATATACAATATACAGCTGCATTTCTCTGGGTTAATAATGAAAAATTTGAAAGTGAAATTTAAGGTATAATTCAATTTTTAGTAATTCCAAGAAAAATAAAATGCATAAGGATAGATTCAACAAAAGAAGAATTGAAGGCTACCAAACACTGATGAAAGAAATTAAAGAACTAAATAAATGGAAATGTGTTCCATTTTCAAAGATTGGCAAAACAATATTATTAAGATGGCAATACATTCCCACCTTGATAGTAGGTTAAATCTTCAAAATTCTAGTTGCCTCTTTGTTGGGAGCCGCAGCCCCGAGCCCGGTCGCCTCACTTGGCGGACGTGAGGCCTGTAGTAAAGAGTAAAGCCTGAGGTAGATTACCCCTCCCATCGAGCACGTTAGTTTCCTGCTTACCGCGTAAGCAACCCGCTCAACAATATAGTCTGCCTGGCAACTGATGATGTTAGCCAATCAGCTTGCCTTGCTTACTTTAACATGATTGGACACTGTATCCGTATATATACTGGTGCCACCCCTGGGGGGGAAGAAGAAGCCCGGAAGTAGAAGCCCAGAAGGAGCCGCGGGGAGCGGACCAAAGGAGGCTTCGGCTGGGAGCGATCCCAGGGCAGGCTGTACGGAGAAGGAAAATAAAAGAAAAGGTTGTCCACTGCCAGGCTTTGTCGTGTGTCCTTCCTGCCGGCCGGGAGCGGACATCGACATTTGGAGGCCCGCACGGGGACTGATCACCCCCGAGACGTGACAGCGGACAACGCTCCAGTACAGAGCTGCGAGACAGGTGAGTTGGGGATAAGCCTGGGCTCTGGGTGGCGCGCACCTACAGGGCTTTTAGACTCCCCTCAGGCTCACGCGTAAGTGGCGGATTCCTTGGGCCTCACGCGGTGAGTAACATATTAAAAGATGGGAAACATGCTAGGTAGCAACACTAAGAGCGAGGGTGGTTGTGGAGAAAGCTCTCAAGAGCTTACAAAAGTACGCAGGGTATTTGAGCAGGCCCAGTCGGGGAGCTCCCGAGAGGGGCCCGTCAAGGGGAACAAAGATGCTAAGGAGAAGGATGGGGCTCTAGCCTCGGAGTCGTCTGACTCCGAGGACGAGGGAAAGTTGAATGGCAAGGAGGCCAAAGAGACCAGCTGTCAGGAGCCTAAGTCGCTCGATAAGGAGTCGCAGGGTTCTTTCCCAGTAATTCAGGGTACCACAGAGCCATTTGTTGACTTTGTGGCCCGAATGCAAGATGCTGCCGATAAGATATTTTCTGATCCGGGAGTGGCTCGACCGCTGGTAAGGCAGCTGATTTTTGAGCAATGTACAAAGGAGTGCAAGGCAGCGATAGCTCCTCATAAGAACAAGGACCTCAACACCTGGATTAGGATATGCAGAGAGATAGGGGGGCCGCTCTCCAACTCGGGAGTGGCTGCTCTCCTGGCCGCGGCTGTACAGCAGAGGGGACCTCGCGGGTTAGAAGGGGAATGTAAGGCTAAAGGGTGTTTTGCCTGCGGGGAGCCAGGACACATTAAACGTCATTGCCCAAACAATGCAGATGCTAGGCCTCGCCCTAGGAATGAAGAACCATATGTTTGTGGGCGATGCAAGAGGGGATCACACAAAGCTGAGGAGTGTAGGTCGGTCTTTGATGCTCAGGGCAACCGTATTTGTGGACGAGATGCTAGAGGGCCAAAAAACGGCCAGAGGGGGCCCCCTTCACAGGCGGGCCCCCGCCCCAGAGACAGGACAGCTCAGGATGGCAGCCTTCAACAAGGGCCACCCCTGGGTCAGCAGGTGTGGACCTCAGTGTCGCCTCCAGACTTATATTAGTGCCTGATATGGGTGTTCAAGTGGTTGAAACCACCTTTAAGGGACCGTTACCCGAAAATTCCGTGGGTCTGGTGATCGGGAGATCCTCCACGGCCCTTCGGGGTCTCATAGTAGTCCCGGGGGTCATAGACTCAGACTACACAGGACACATTAAAATTATGGTTCAATCTCTTGTGGGTACTATGGTAATCAATAAAGGAGACAAGATAGCGCAGCTCTTGCTGCTCCCCAGTCTCCACAGGAGATTCCCCTCAAAGCAGAAAATTAGAGAAAGTCAAGATTTCGGTTCCTCAGGGGAAGTCTTCGAGGGACTCCATATAATACTTGATAAAAGGCCCATGCTCTCACTTAAGGTCAATGGCAAGAATATAACAGGGCTCCTAGACACAGGAGCTGACCGTTCCATTATCTCTAGAAAGGATTGGCCCTCCAACTGGCCCACCAACACTGCAGATAACACGCTGCAGGGCCTGGGGATGGTGTCAGCTCCTCAGGTTAGTGCTTCAACCCTGCTCTGGTGCGATGAGGAGGGTCATCAGGGCCATTTCCAACCATTTGTGTTGCAGTTGCCAGTGTCTCTATGGGGAAGGGACATCCTCACTCAGATGGATGTCACGCTTACGTCAAACTGCTCCCCCCAGGCTAAGGATATACTCAGGAACCAGGGATATACCCCCGGCAAAGGCTTGGGCAATGCCCTACAGGGTCGGACATCCCCAATACCAGTAGAGAACAAAAAAGGTAGGCAAGGGCTGGGTTTTTCTTAGGGGCCGCTGAAGAAGCTCTCCTACCCACTTCGATCAAAATCACCTGGAGGTCAAATGATCCGGTTTGGGTACCTCAGTGGCCCCTGCCTAAGGAGAAGCTATTAGCCTTGTCAGAAATAGTCAGTACACAACTTAGATTAGGACACATTAAGCCGTCAACCTCCCCATGGAACACCCCCATTTTTATAATTAAGAAAAGGTCTGGCAAATGGAGGCTGCTCCATGATCTAAGGGCGGTCAACGCGCAGATGCAGTCCCTGGGGGCGGTCCAGAGGGGGCTGCCAGCTCTCTCAGCCATCCCTCAGTCCTGGCCAGTTTATGTTATAGATCTTAGAGACTGTTTCTTCTCAATCCCCCTGCATCCAGAGGACACTCATAGGTTCGCCTTTACTTTACCCACCATTAACCAAGAAAGCCCTGATCTCAGATACGAGTGGATAACGCTGCCCCAAGGTATGGCCAACAGTCCCACTATGTGTCAGATTTACCTTGATTCCCTACTGGCCCCCCTACGGAAATCCTTTCCCAAGATAAGATGTGTGCATTACATGGACGACCTTTTGCTCAGTGGCAGGGACCCAGACATGCTAAATAATATGCTCGGCCAGTTGGTCGAGGCCCTGAGACAAGCTAATCTGCATGTTGCCCCCGACAAGATTCAGGGAGGAGAAATGGTGACCTACTTAGGCGCGAAAATCTCCCCTATGCTAGTCTCTCCACAGAAGGTCACCATTAGGACGGATGGCGTTAGGACCCTAAATGACATGCAAAAGCTATTGGGAGACATTAATTGGATTAGGCCATATTTACATATACCAAATTCAGATCTCAAACCCCTGTTCGACCTTCTAAAGGGAGACCCAGATATAGCCTCCCACAGGAGGCTCACTCCTGAGGCAAGAGCTGCCTTACAGAGAGTGGAAAAAGCCTTAGGTGGGGCTACCTTACACAGAATTGAACCAGGGCGACCCTTTGATGTCTGTTTGCTACAGACTAGTCTACAGCCCACAGCGGTGATTTGGCAGAAAGGACCATTACTGTGGATACACCCTAAGGTCTCACCTGCAAAAGTCATAGAGCATTACCCGGAGGCAGTCGCTTCATTGGCCCTTGAAGCGCATGATAGAGCTGTCCAACATTTTGGCTCAGGACCACAAGCCATCCGAGTACCCTATACCGCCAGCCAGATCAAGACCCTGGCTGCCTGCATAGATATATGGGCCATTCTGAGATGTGTTTTCCATGGGGATATAAACAATCAATACCCTAAAGACCCTATCTTGTCATTTGTCACTCAGCACCCTATAATTTTTCCAAAGGTTACTGCCTCTGAGCCATTAGTCCCAGCAACTACAATATACACAGATGGCTCCAAGACGGGGATAGGCGCCTATGTGATCCTAGGCAAGCCCCCGGTTACCATACAATTTGAACCTGATCAGCCTCAGGTGGTGGAACTGCAGATCGTTAAAATGATTCTTGAACGGTTCTCAGAAGCCATTAATATTGTCTCCGATTCTAGGTATGTGGTCAATGCTATGCAAGTGCTTGAGACTGCCGGTTTAATTAGATCCACTTCCACAGTGGCTGGGCTGTTCCTGTCTATCCAGACATTGCTTCAGAACAGACACCATAAGGTCTTCACCACCCACATAAGAGCACATACATCCCTGCCAGGGCCTATGGCACAGGGGAATGCGGCTGCTGATACTGCCACTCGCCCGTTATGGATTTTTACCTTACTAACACCAATCGAGCGAGCCCGTGCCTTCCATGATAAGTTTCATGTCAATGCCAGGACACTAGCAAACCATTTCCATGTTTCCAGAGCAGATGCACGAGATATCGTGCGACTATGTGACTCCTGTGCCACATACAAACCTGCCATACCGATGGGAGTAAACCCTCGAGGTTTGATCCCTGGTGATGTTTGGCAGATGGACATCACACATATACAGGAGTTTGGGACTCTTAAATATGTTCATGTTTCCACAGACACCTGTTCTCACGTCATATTCGCAACAGCAGAAACAGGTGAAAAAGTGTCTAATGTGATCAATCATTGCCTGGCGGCTTGGGCCGCATGGGGCAAACCAAAAATATTAAAAACTGATAATGGACCAGCCTATATAGGCAAAGCCTTCAATGAGTTCTGCAAAATGATGGAGGTTCAATTAAAACATGGTATCCCATACAATCCCCAAGGTCAAGGAATCATTGAGAGGGCTCATAGAAGCCTCAAAGAAATTTTACAAAAACAAAAAGGGGGAGTAGGCCAAGGCCTGGCCCCAAAGGCACGATTATCCATGGCACTATTCACACACAATTTTTAAAATTTAAATAATGATAATTGCTCCCCAGCCGTGGAGCACTGCAACCCTTCCCCCAACCATAAAGGGTGGGTGAAGTGGAAAGATGTCCTGACAGGACAATGGATGGGCCCGGATCCAGTGGTCAGCTGGAACCGAGGCGCGGTTTGTGTTTTCCCACAGGAATCGGGACGAGAACCACTGTGGGTACCGGAGAGACTGACACGGGCGACAAAGCCCTCGACTGAAGATCAGACCTGCCCTACCGGAGATCCATCACAGACCAACCAACAAGATGAATAGAAATAGCGATAGCCCGAAATGGACAAGAAGATCCTCAGGCATATGCATGGCTCGCTCGCCTAGCCTACGACCGAGTCTAGGGGCGGTGAGCTTCCCACACTCCTCCTCTAAAAAATTATGACATAGCTGGGTAGGAGAGTCAATGACGGGTAAGAGCGTACTCCCCCGGTGCGACTCAACCTAAGCCAGGCCCTACCCCATCCTGCACGTAAGCCGCTGGACTGTTAGATGCTGCCCAGGTCTAAATTTCTCTCCGAGGGGATTTCTTTACGGAGAGGAAATGAGTGCAAGCTTGTGTGCATCCAGGTTCCGTCCAGTTTGTGCCTGGCCCTAGAAAAAGGACGAGGGCCTCAGGGCCTTGGCAGACCATGGGACGGCCGACCAGGGTCTAAGCCAAGGACCTACGGTGGGCCTATGCATAGGGCATAAGCCTCTGCACCCAGTCCAGAAAGGGCTACGATGCGCACATTCATAAAAAATAAAAAAGGGGGAGATGTTGGGAGCCGCAGCCCCGAGCCCGGTCGCCTCACTTGGCGGACGTGAGGCCTGTAGTAAAGAGTAAAGCCTGAGGTAGATTACCCCTCCCATCGAGCACGTTAGTTTCCTGCTTACCGCGTAAGCAACCCGCTCAACAATATAGTCTGCCTGGCAACTGATGATGTTAGCCAATCAGCTTGCCTTGCTTACTTTAACATGATTGGACACTGTATCCGTATATATACTGGTGCCACCCCTGGGGGGGAAGAAGAAGCCCGGAAGTAGAAGCCCAGAAGGAGCCGCGGGGAGCGGACCAGAGGAGGCTTCGGCTGGGAGCGATCCCAGGGCAGGCTGTACGGAGAAGGAAAATAAAAGAAAAGGTTGTCCACTGCCAGGCTTTGTCGTGTGTCCTTCCTGCCGGCTGGGAGCGGACATCGACACCTCTTGTTGCAGAAATCAACAATATAATCCTAAAATTAGTATAGAATTTTAACCCCAAATAGCCAAGATATTCTTGGGAAAGAACAAAGTTGAAGAACGCAGAATCTGTGGCTTCAAAATCTGCTACAAAGCTATGGTAATCAAGATTGTGTGGTCCTAGCATAAAGGTAGACCCTCTCCCCGCAAAAAATCAACAGAGCAGGATCAAGAGCCTATAAAGACTGTCCCATTCATAATCTAATCTCAACAAGAGTGTTAAGACACCGCTAGGAGGAAAGAGGAGTCTCTTCAACAAGTGCCCACGTACTATCTAGTGAGCCGGACTGGGGAAGAGGAGGAAAAGAGAAGCCAGTTACCACTGATCCTCAGCAGCATTTCTGTCTCCTTCTGTCTCCTGAAATCCATGCTCCCCAGGCCCCTTTACTAACATAACAGCCTTGCACATTCTGCCCACCGAGGCACTGTCCAGTTGCCTGTTTCTATTGCATCAGCTGACTAGGAATAGCAGAAGGGAGTCCTGCAAAGAAAAATGTTGCCTCAGGAATTCAGAGAGAGAGAGACAGACAGACAGACACAGAAACAGAGAGAGAGAGAGAGGAGAAGGAACAAAAAGAAGGAAGAGAAATTAAGTGAAAACTTTCAACTCCATTTATCAGTGGTTGGGGACCTCTGTTGATTCACATCTTAGATATTGTGAGTAGTGTCCCACACCTAGCATCGCAGGTCTCTCTTCCTGTGCTGATTTCGTTTCCTTTGAATGTATACTCAGAAGTGAGCTGCCAGGGGCATGTGGCAGAGCTACTTGTATTATCCGAGGACACTGCCTCGTCCTCTTCGAGATAGCTCTCCTACGTACACGCCCGTCAGCATCGTGTGCGTTGCTTTCCTCCACACCTTCGCATCCTCAGTATTACTTTTGTCTTTTGAAATAATAGCTGTCCCATCTGGACATAGAGTCTCATTGTTGTTTTGACTCGTGTTTCCCTGGTATTAAGAATATTAAGCCTTTTGCATATAGTACTTTGAGTTTAGCTTCACTGGTGCCAGCAATTTTCAAGCACAAGCCTTTTCCACCCGTGGGGCTGGCTTTGGAATCCTGGTTAAAGTTTCTCACAAGATTTCAAGGACAGCTGCCCATGCTCCTGGCCAGCATGGCTTCTGTCTGCCTAGAGTGAATGTTAAGCAAACTCAGAAATAATAAAATTTAAAAAGAAATATTTCTGAACCCTTCCTCTAGCTATTTCTTGGCTCTTAGGTTACTATCAAAAACCTTCCTTTGACTTTTAGTCAAGCCATGAATATTTTCTTAATATCCTCTGTGTCCTTTGGTCTCTGTCATGCTGGATGTGATTGCAGGGAGAGCTGTCAGGAAATCATATTGAGATATCCACGTCTGCCATGCTTTGAAGATAGTGTTAAGTAAAATGAGTACAGATACTTTGCAGCAGATGGCGGCAGGAGGTAAGGTAAGCTGGCATATAATCAGTCACCCAGAGTGAAACAGTTACTCGGGCTGATCAAGCCATCATAGTTTCCCTGCGGTTTTTTCCATTTTTTTTTTTTTTTCTGAGACAGGGTTTTACTATGTGGTCAGGCTGAACTTGAACTCACTATGTAGTCCAGGCTGGCCTCTAACTCACAATGATCCCCAGAAGGAGAAAGGAGCAAGGAAACTTTTTTTTTGAAGGTAGTAAAATACAACAAAACAAGACAAAACAAAGTCAATCAAGACAATGCAGTGAAATTAGTGCAGAACTTCAGGGCAGGATACTGGGATAACAGTAATAGGTACCATAGTGTATCCTGTTATCTTCACAGTAGTTGTCCATTCAATCAGGAATAGCAAAATCAAACCAAGAACAGAACATTATAAAACCTATCAAAACAGAATATTGAATAGAGCAAAACAACTGATCAGAACAAAGCAAAGCAGTGGGAACAATATTTGCCTTCAAAGACAAGATAGAAGGAAATCCCCCATATTTGCTGTATTGCATCCTGTCATCCTCCCAAGAGATGCTCAGACCTCTGGCCCCAGGTCAGCATAATCAACCCAACAATACTAGCATTTAGTTGCTTTATGTGCTCTAGTTGCTATCAACTCCGGCTGTCCTGACACCTTCCGGTTCCTGAATGGTTCTCTTCCTGGTGTGTGGGCTGCTGGCTCCCACTGCAGCTTACCAGGAGGGAGGACTTGTTGCTTTCTAGCTCAGCCCCCTACGATGGATCTCGGGATACACTGACTTGTTCTCCTCTTGGTGCGTCCATGCCAGGAATCTCTTACAGGGGAGCTGGAGAGGGCGCTTGTATGCCTTGGTAATTAGTGTTTCTCAGGAGCAAAGTCAGCAGTCTCTTCGTTATACAGCTTTGAAGGGTAATAACTAATGGGCTTTAAGGATTATTGGAGTTATCTTATCATGGATGGCAGATGCTGGGTGCCACGGGGGTGGGATAAAACAGGTAAGTTTTAAATGGCTAAAATGTGTCTTAGGGCTCCAGTGGGATGTTTTAAGAATTTGCATTTGGTGATCCTGGCTTCAAGCTGACAATCTACTCTGCTGTGAAGGAGTAAACAGCACAGGGGTTGATACTCACGGCTCACCTCTGACCTGCTCATATTGCATGTGTGTTCAGAGTCCTAGCACTCCTGATGCAGCCCTGACAGAACAAGGACTTTCCTCCGCAGATGGCCTTCGCCTCGCCTTTTCCCTGCCTGTTCCTCCCCTTCCAATTCCGGTGATGAGGGCTGGAGTGTAACCCAGCGGCTGGAGTGTAACTCATCTAGTATGCACGAGGCCCTGGCTTCCATCTCTAGCACTGCAACCTCAAACCAAAAACCCAGCCATGATGAGTTTCTCCCGTGATCCGGGGAGAAAGATCCAATAGGAAGGAGAAGGACATGGTCGTTGTGGGAGCAGGACACAGAGCTAGTGATGGGTCATGAATTCTTAGTAAAAGGTTGGGAAAGACGGGCAGGGAGAGAAACAAGCAGGACACCCAAGGTGAGGAGCAGAAATACTGCTCTGGGGGGTGAGGAGACCCACAGCAGGACCTGTAAGTCAGACTCCTTCTGCACTGTCAAACAGGCATTGTGAACAGCTTTTGTTTTATCTCAGGCGATCCCTGTATCAACTGCTTCTTATCTGCAGGAATCTGCCACCCTGTGTGGTGCCCGTGGATTTTTCCTTCCACAAAGAAGGAAGCTGGGAATGAAGTCTTCCTCCCTCGCATCCTTTGCTGAGTTAGGGGCATGTGTTTATCATGCTGCATAAAATGCCTGAGGCTTTCTACAGTGGGTTAGCTCATAGTGAAGGCTCAAAGGTCCTGCCCTGATGGTGGCTTTCTTGTTGCCAGAGACCTGATGTGGCACGGGGCATCATAGGGCAGCCCACAGGGAGCGTGTGTGTGTGTGTGTGTGTGTGTGAGCACGCGTGTTCTGGTTTCTCTCCTTATAAGCCCACTTGTGTTCAGTGTCTGCCCCTATTATGTTCAGAGGTCCCACCCTAGTCAGAGCGAGTTCTCACACTCCTACCACCTTGCAATGGGGATTAACTTTCCACATACGGAACCCTGGGGTCACACACAAACCGTGCCCGAAGCTCAGCAACAAACATGGACTGGACCGGCCAGTCAGATGCCTGGGAACAAACAGCAAAGCGCAGTTCTCGGGTTCTCATGGCCCGGCAGCACCACAGTGACGGCATCTAGGGGCAGCAGTGGGGTTCAGCCTGGCAGGGTCCTCTGCAGGCAGAGTCAGGGGAGCTTTGAGCAGACCATTCCCAGGGCCTTTTCTGTTACTCCAGCAATCGGCACAAGAAGCTTCCTGGGTGGATTCACCAGCCTGTGGTGATTCCTTCAAGAGCTGTTCTTAAATTAGCTGTGTTGTACTAAAATGCTAGAAAATTAAAATAGTTAATTAAAAGATAATTAGCAAAAATAGTTAGTTAAACAGATAGTTATTAGCAGTATTGTCATTCTGTGCTGAGCTCGTTACCCTAGTAACCAAGTACCAACCACGTAGTTATAGATTAACTGACCGTGTCGGTCATGCTGTTCTGTATGAGTCTTCCCACAAGTAACCTGTTTGCTGTGTCAGCCTTTGCTCCCCTCGTAAGAGATAAATGATGCTCTGTCAACCATTGTTCCCTTTATGAGAGACGAATGTTCCTGGAATTGGCAGACCAAGGGCTATGAATTGGCTGACCACCCACTGTGAAATGCCTCTGACCTCAAGCAAAGGGGAACAAAGGCCCACCTTGTTTCTGTTTCCCATCACTATGTACTTAATGATCAATGAGCTAATCATAAATGAACTATAAAAATCAGTCAAAATTCTAACTTAGTTGCACAGCTTTGCAAATTCCATCTGCACTGTGTCGCTGGGCCAGCTAAAATAAAAGCACTTCTTTTAAAAAAGACGTCATTCTTGCCTCGTTTTTCATCTTGGGGATCTTGCCCCGTCTTTCATCACGGGGCCTTGTTTTGGGGGGGTTACAACAGCTGGAATTAATTTCTGTTGCCTCTAATAAAGACTGTTTCTCTTTTAACCTACCCCTCTTTTTTCCAGAAGCTGTAAATTTCTTTTCATTTTTTTCTTTCTTTCTTTTGTCTTTTTGTCTTTTTGAGGCACAGTCTTGCTGTACAGTTCAGGCTGGCCTTGAGCTCACTTTGTAACCCAGGTTGGTCTTGAATTCACAGTGATCCTCCTGCCTCAGTCTCCCAAATACTGGGATTACAGGTGTGCGCCACCACACTTGGCTCAGAAGCTGTAAATTTATTCATATCTCCAGGCAAACCCAGATCTCTCCAGTCTTAAAATACAGGCAGATCAAGTTTTCCTTTAAAGAAAAATTCTTTCCAAGCATTATCAAGACTTGATTTGTAACACAATTTCCACTGCAATAATAGTATATTTATTAAACTCTTTTACTGATGGGCAGAAAAAAGTAAATT